GTGAGTAATTTACATTAAATTTCATACTTATTGGAGGGGTAGTGAATAAAATAGAGAAGAGAAGATACCTAGAGAAAATATGACGTGTCACACTAGGGAAATTCAAGATCTTTTTAAATATTGCCTTAATGATTTAAGAACTTAAAACATATACTATTAAAATATGGATTATTAGATAAGATTTTATGCTATACTAATTGGTATAACAAAAAGTAGTTTAATTAAAATTTGAATGTAAGTCATCAAAAACCTTATGACATGCGCAGTAAAGGTCAAGAAATAATTTTATGCTGCAGAATTCAGTACTAAAGCAACAATGTATGGGAAAAATTATGAAGGTCTGACAGTGAAATAAAACAACTGTCCAATAAGCAATGTGGATTACTTGTTTGATCTCTAGATTATTTTATGAGTGAATATGGCATTTTGGACATGAAGTGCCTCAAAAAGGTGGTAAATATTGCCCCACATGAAGTGGCATAAGGTATGAATAATTTCTATTTGAATACCCAAAAGGAAAATGAATCACGTTGAAATGAAAGTCATGACTACTACCATCAAGTTCATGGTCTTTTACACGTTTCTTGTGGACTGTATTATGACTTTGTTGTATAGACTCCAAAAGGGGTTCACATCAAAAGAATTTGCAGAAATATTAGATTCTGGAAAACTGTCGTTTTCTAAAGTATACCAATTCTATATGGAACTAGTAAACTACAGACTGCCATGGAACATGAAGATCAGAGAATTTCTGTACATAGAACAAGCCATCAAAAAATTTAAATATACTGATGATACAGAGAAATAAACAAAATAATTAAAAAACAACAATCATGTAATTTGTGAAATATGTAAAGCATTACAACCTTTCCCCATCACTTCTTGTTGCAGCTTGCAATGCATATTCTGTATTCCATTTTATTTTGGATGTGATTTCGTAATTGTAAAAAAAATACATACGTATGTAACATTCCCAAATGTTCATTTTTAATATCGGAAATATGTTTTTATGCAAAATTTATCCTTATTTATTTTTCATTTGGGTTAGATATTTTAATGGAAATGTACTAGTATGTTGCTGCCATCTTAAGTATGTTTATTATTATTCATAAAATTGATTGTCTTCGTGATTGTTTATTACTCTGTTATTATGGTATTAACTTCCAATCACAACCTGGCAATCAGTATAACTCGTCAAATGTACTTTTCTTATGTTTCTACTTAAAGATTAGAATGCATTGTTTTATCAACTGTGCATCCTCACTGTTAACAATATTTTCGGCCATAATATATCCTGAGACTCAGTCATCTTAGGAGATTTAGATTAGTTCTAAACATACATATTAAGCTAACAATGCAAAACAATCTTTAAAATAAAAGTATCAAAATAAAAAGTAATGATATCTGATATACTAAACAGTATACCCAACACTGTTAATGAAAGTAACAATTAATAATATACCTTATTTAGAGAACACAGAAAAACTTGCTATAAGCTTGAACTGCTGTCACAGAAGAAACTTTTTTGGAAAATGTAACCTTACTGTAACATGCCTGTTTTTTATCTAACTTTTCTTGCCTGTTGTTTGACCAAAATAAAACATTAAGCCATCCCTAATGTCTAGTTTCAGAAGTTAACAACATCTGTATTCAACACGTTGCTGTTTAAACTGTGTTAATTTGTAGCAGTACTCTTCCCATAGTACAACCAAAAACTAATGTTTATAAAGATACAAAATAATAACACCTAAACTGTCCAGAAAAATGTAACAATATTAAATTTAATACAAAAAAAAACAATATGATAAACGTGTGTAACATGTCTAAAACTTTAAACACTCTTACTTTAACTATCGCCTGTAACAAACATATGAAGCTGGCTACAGGAAGTAATAAGTAACATTCAATCTTCTGTAAAAGCCTAAAGGAAACACATAAGCTTCTAGAAAGTAGAAAGTTCAATAAAAAGAATTATTAGAAAGGAAAGTTACAACACACATTAATATGGCAAAGAAAGTGATCATTAAAAACTAACAACATAAGGAAATGGTATACATCTAAATTAACTATATATATAATAATAACTTAACTTAACAAAGGGTAAAACCAAAAGTGGTCAGTCAACTAAAACCATTCATTATTATTCTACACAATATCCCAAGAAATTAAAGTGTATAGATGAAAGATTCTAAAAGGTCCTGTAAAACATCTATATGGGAAATTCAACAAATTCTTGTTACAGATTATGTAACAAGAATGTTGTTGAATTTCCCATATAATTGAAGGAATTTTGTGTTTAAAATGCACAATGAGAAACCTTAATTATCCAAAATGAAAGTGAGCTTATGAGTTTTATCTACAAAATCTTGTAATGACGAACAAATTCTATTGTATTTAAACAGCTGAGAATAGGAAAGATTATAGCATAACTTATTTATGATATTCATATTTGGGAATGGGAAGTTGATAACTTTGAAGTTTAAAATGTCCATTTTACTGAAAACTTTAAAATTTAAATAATGATTCTGAAATCATTGATGCTGGTATCTAAATCCAGATATTGTATTGTTTTTAGTGGAAGAGCTTATTTTGATATTGTTATACATAAAATTAACTGTCTTCAAGATTGTTTTTTACTTTGTTGTTACTGAATGAGTAAATATATAAAAACAAAAATAGTTATATGGTATTCCTTCCATGATGTTTCAAAGCAGTAAACCAATTTGTTGTTTTCAATAAACAATTAAAGACCATCCATATTTCTTTACAGAGAGATGGTTAACAGTTTAACAGAAGTTATGCTATATTATATAAATACGTGGAAAATCCTGAAAAACAAGGTTTTTACTATACTCTACTATTCATTAAAATGATATAATCAACATAGAGTTTGTGTTATCATCATACTAGCTTCTAATATCAATTGTAGAAATATTATATTTTGTGAATAAAAATTAATCTGTGAAAGGACATCATTATAAAAATTTGAAATAGAGAATAGAACACGTATTTCTGACTATGGTCTACTTACTTGCCCACTAAATACCTAAGATTGCATAGTAGTAAGTACTTTTCTGGCCAGTAATCAACAACACTATCCATATTTTAAAGACAACCCTATTTCTCCAACACGCGTTTCTTTGCCTTGTTATGGTAAAGACTAAATATCTGATCATTGTAACACAAGCGAACACTAGTAGCCAAAAGAATGTGACCCTGTTATTGAACATGGTAAACTTATACACAAATTATTACTATAAATAAATTTTTACTTTTCGTTACAAATTACGTGGACCATAGATGTAGTTGTACATATAAAATGAGTGAATTAACTGAGTGTTACTTAGTGCGAGTGGTAGAAGAGTTTAGCTGAAGTATGCCTTGGGCTTGCAGTTTTGTTTATTCATGCGAGTTCTGTACCCATGTACTGGGAAATAACAACATGTCTGCAGGTAGTCAGTTAATCTGTTATTACCAGATCCTAATACTGTAATGAAAGCATTTCTTTAGTATAGCATCTTACCCTATGATTTGTTACAAAATATTTTTATTATATGCTGTATTCTACTTAACCACATCAAATAATTAGTAAAATGTTATAACCTCACACCATTAGTTACAAGAAGTTTTATAGATATTCAAGCATTCTTGGATATAAAAAAAATTAATACTTACTGGTCCTGTTTTCTACTATCACATAACATAGTAGAATAATTGCTTCAAAGTAAAACTACATAAATATTAATATGGCACAAACCAACTAGCACCTTTGATTTGTAAATAAAAACAAAATGTGTTGTTTTAGTCAAAAAAATATATAACCATTTATATAATAGATAGTGTTACGCTACACATACATATGCATGAGTCCAATACAAATTTTATCCCTTTAAGCAAGCACCTCCATCATCTATCTAAAAACATTGATAAAGACTGGTTGTTCATCAAAAGCCAAGTTTTAGAAATAATTCTGATAACTGTTATTAGCTTTCATTTCCTCTTATTGATCGTCATGACATACAAGATAACTCGAGGATACCTGTCACTTGTAGGCAGAGACAAAATAAATTAACAAAATATTACTATTTATTAGACATTTTCTGACTTACACTAGCTATTAGAATATCCAAACTGTATTGTTATTAATAGAATAGTTTAAAAACAACAATACTTAGACAAATCAAAGCACAAGCAATAAATTCAGTTTTAGTGTACTAGTGATGCTTTGCTGCCCTCTACAGTCACAAATCAGTATTAGAAGCTATATTGGATTCACCTTAATGGTAATTTAAAAATTACTCTCCTAAACATAAATAAAATTACTAATCTAGCAGTAAAACCAACTTGGAACAACATTGCTGTTTCTATTATAAATTTTACATACCTGAATTTGACACTGGATCAAATTTCATAGCCAACACTCCAGCAAGCTTTTCACTAGTGTGTATTAAGAATGGTGACTCTAAAAGAACACAAAACCTTGTATCGTATAAGTTCGACCTTATTCAAAATACTTAATACAACTTCATTTCAATGATATTTGGCACCACAATATAAGAAAAATCACTATAAAATTACATTATTTTCATGTTGTTTACAATACAAAGCATGACAAATATTATTCCTGTTTTTATCTTCTAAATAAAATTACAAAACTAAATCTCTTGAAAGTCAGTATTTTTAATATCATCTTTAGGGAGACTTACTGAATATGTATCTATTTCCTTTTTTATTTCTTTAACATTACTGCTCTGTTTTTGTTAGACATATTAGTTGTTTCTGAAACCTCATTTATTTTACATATTGCAAAGAATGTAAGGATAAGCAAACATGTTAATTGTTTGCGAGTCATTACAAACTTCAATACATAGAACTGGTGGCATCAGTTGTACATACTGTTTGGAAATAAGTGACAGAGTGAGTAGAAAGGTCTGTATTATATTTTTGTAGGTAAGTATTGAACTATTCATCTGTTTAAGGAATGAATATGTACTTGTTTACAACAAATTCAATCAATCATTGCTATCTACAGTGCCTGCATATTTGGTAAGTTTGCTTAGGTAACGAAACAGATCTAAATGATGATATTCTGTTCTACAAATCAAAGCTGACAATTCAGTAGAAAAGCCATACCAAATTTTATTCATCAAGAATGGCTATACACTACCCAAACCATAATGTGGGGGGCTTATAGCATTGTTTTATATATTCAATCATCAAATTACAAACTTGTTTTTATACTGTTCATTACTGGTGCATTCCAAATATCACAATATACTGAGTAATTTTATATTTTTGCTTGTTAAATATGCTCAGTGGAAAGAACTGTCTAAAAAATTCAGTGAAATCAATAAGTTTCTGTACCAAATACATAGTTTCCTGGCAGTGTGATTATTTACAGCATTTTTGGTATCTTTTAATTTTTTGTGTGACTTCTGTTATTAAGAGTCCCTTTAACCAATAAAAATTAAGGACCCACTAGTAACTTGTTGCATAAATAAATCAGAAAAATGTATTTTAAAAACCAAATGGCTCTATCAGTAATACTATGAATAATTTAATTTCCTCTAAAGCTACACCAAGTGCCAAGCCATGTATATTTGTGCTTGTGTGTGTATATATATCATGTATTGCAGTTTATATTATATTAATTTGCACAATTTTCCTTACCATGTGAAGTCATTAAAGAAATTGTTTTATTCTTATGCATAACAGTTATAAGACAAATTTTTGGTAATAAGGGTTTCAAAATCTAGTTGATATATTTAATATTTATAATAGTTTTATACATTACCACTTTTGATAATGATAATTACCATACGAATATAAAGCACAATAAAATTTCAATGCAAGTACTTTATTTACAGTTTAAGTTATCAATATATGAGAGTTTATTTAAAGGCCATTAAAAAATGTTATATTTCACTAAACTATGGGATTACCAATTAAGATCAACCAAAAGCACACAATCAAGAAATACTGTATTTATACACAGAAATTGAGTTTCACATTCATATCATTAGCTTAGTTTTGGACCAAGTCATTACTGAAGATTGATTAACAACAGGCAATCTTAATCATACTGGGTTCAAAGAAACAACAATATTTATGGAAAAGTTCTTAGAATACACCAACCCGAAAACATTTTACAATTATAAAAAAAACAAGTGGTAATGGTCTACCTTCATACCTATCTCAAGCAACATTGTTTGTGATGTCTAATAATAACTTACCAGAAAGTCTGAGACAATTTTCTGAAACGTAAAGTTTTCTATGTATATTTGAAACATATTTTGTATTCTCAGACTTACAGTAAAATTATGCTTCTGTTTTGCCTGTACATTTTTCATTATTTCCAGCTAATACTTATTTCTAAATATGGTTGCTCTCACTCATAATAAATAAAATTTCTCAAATCACAAAAATATTCAAATCTGTTAAGCACCATCTACTTAAAAACTTTCTTATTTCTTGCTTATATTCAAGTTACTCAATTAATTATTCTTGCTTCAAAGCTATCTCCTAATCTTTAAGTGATTTGCTTGTAAATCAAGTTGTAGCATCAAATGGCTAACAGAGATAGCTGTATTACCAGTCCACGGCTTTTGTGCTACTTGTGAATAGTGCAAGTTCTGGGATTTATTTATGATCAAAGTTAGTCTATAATTGTACATTAATCAAACTTCATCTAATTTCACCATTTCTATAATCATGAATTATGTTTTTCAACATGATAAAAACATTATCGTAATGTAAAATAAGATAAAACTTTGTGGAAAATAAACTGTTATAAAAATATTATTGAACAGAAAATGAAGTGAAATGCACATAACATGACTTGGATTTCTATAAACAAACTTCAGCACACAGAGCAAGTGGTAGTGATTGTAACTCCTACTGGAATCAAACCCCAGCACAGACAAGTGTTACTGGTTGTAAATCCTAGTGAAATCAAACTCCAGCAAAGACAAGTAGTACTAGCTGTAATTCCTAGTGAAATCAATCTCCAGCACAAACAAGTGGTTCTAATTGCAAATCCTACTGAAATCAATCTCCAGCACAAACAAGTGGTTCTAATTGCAAATCCTACTGAAATCAAACTCCAGCACAGACAAGTGGTACTAGTTGTAAATCCTACTGAAATCAAACTCCAGCACAGACAAGTGGTACTAGTTGTAAATCCTACTAAAATTAAACTCCAGCACAGACAAATGGTACTGGTTGTAAATCCTAGTGAACTCAATCTTGAGCACAAACAAGTGGTACTAGTTGCAAATCCTACTGAAATCAAACTCCAGCACAGACAAGTGGCACTAGTTGTAACTCCTACTAAAATTAAACTCCAGCACAGACAAATGGTACTGGTTGTAAATCCTAGTGAAATCAATCTTGAGCACAAACAAGTGGTACTAGTTGCAAATCCTACTGAAATTAAACTCCAGCACAGACAAATGGTACTGGTTGTAAATCCTAGTGAAATCAATCTTGAGCACAAATAAGGGGTACTTGTTGTAAATTCTACTAAAATGAAACTCCCGCACAGACAAGTGGCACTAGTTGTAACTCCTACACAAATCAAACTCCAGTGCACAAAAGTGGTGCTGGTTGTAACTCTTACTGAAATTAGATTCCAATATAGAAGGAAAAGTGTTACAAGCTGTACTTTCTTTTCCAATAAAACTCCAGCACAAGTAGTATGAGTTGTAAGTCCTGTTGAAAGGAAACTCCAGAACATAGGAATGAAGCATTTGCAGCATTTTTGGGCATTCCAAATGCTTCAAGGACTGAGAAAATATATACAATATGGAGAGGTGTGATGCACGCTTAATAAAAGTGTAAAAAAGTTATATAACGATGATTGACCAAGAAGCTAAATGTGTTCAGAAGAATTCAAGGATACGATAGTTGTTTATGTTATCTATAAGCGATGCTACTGCAGTCATGAGAAAGCCTCGTTGGAGAGACCGGGAATAAGATAGTTATCTACAAACTGGTACCACTATAGCAGTGTGAAAGCTACGAGAGATGTTTACATTATCTTGCACACAGTTACCATAAAAGAGATAAGTCAAAACTTTGATGTAGTATCCATATCAAAAGTGGGTGTAGGATACATGTAAGGAGGTTGCCGATTTACCGACTTTATCTATAATCAATGGTTAAGTGGTCCTGGTTCTGACAATTACAATGAGATGGAAGAAACAACCAATTAAGTGTCAGATCTACTTGCAGGTAGCTGTGTACACTATTTGGAAGATTGTAAGAATACCAGAAGAATTTAGTATAAAAACCCTTGTTTGAAACCAAAGAGTTGAGTTTTCCATGGCGGTTCTTGAAGCTAGATAACCTGCACAGGACAATCTCCAAGTCCTATACACAGTTGCTGTGATCAGAAAGAAGAAATCATGTCTACGAGCCTGCTGAACTTGCCCAAT